AACAAACACATCCCTACAGCCTGTGTGCACACACACACACACACACACACACACACACACACACACACACACACATCCCTACACCCTGCGTACACACTCCTGAAAGCTATACATACATTCATATCATACTTACTAGCTTCTAGCACCAAGAGGAACGATGGTTTCAGCGTTGGCCTGACTCTGCTTCTGTTGTCTCATTCTGTACTGTCTGACAAAGTAGACACCAATGGCAGTAGCCATCACGGCAACCACGGCCGCACACACTCCCCCGACAGTGCCGTAGTACTTGAAGCCAGAATCTTCTCCTGGGAAAACACACACCGTGATCTCAGGGATATATCTTGTACACATTGAAACTTTCGACTTGGCGGAACTACAGGGTGATAAAAAAGCAACCAAAAAAAAAAAGCAAAAACACCCCAAAACCAAACAAACAATAAAAGAGGCATAAAGTGGACTCTCTTCTCCACCCTCGAGGATCTTGACTTTGCCGACGACCTTGCACTACTCTCCCATTCCAACCAGCACATGCAGGAAAAAAACAAACCGACTCCACAAATACGGGCTCCAGATTGTGTTAAAAAAAGCCAGAAGAAGACAAAAGGGATGACACTAAATGTGGGCTCCCCAACGCTGATCAGGGTGAACAAAGCAGACATGCCTATAACAAACACATTTACCTACCTAGGCAGCATAATCACAACTGACGGCGGCACAAACGAAGACATCATGAATAGACTCGGCCAGGCAAGATCTATACACAGAAGCATGATCAACATCTGGAAGTCAGGACAGTTTAGTATACAAACTAAGTTAAAGCTGTATAACAGTTGTGTACTATCCACACTCCTATATGGAGCTGAATGCTGGAGGACGACTGATCATGACCGTGCCAAGCTATCTTCCTTTCATACAACCAGCTTACGCCAAATACTCAGAATCTTCTGTCCCGACAAGATTTTCAACGCCGATCTATTACAAAAATGTAGGCAAGAGGACATGACCACCATAATAAAAAAGGAGAAGATGGAGATGGATTGGACATGTTCTGAGAAGAGAACCAGACTCTATTGTGAAGACTGCAGTCCACTGGACACCCGAAGGACGTCGCAAAAGGGGCAGACCCAAAGTGACCTGGAGACGCACAGTAGTGTCGGACATGAAGTCCTGGAATCATTCGAGGGTAACGCTGACCAAGATGGCCCAAAACAGACAGAGCTGGAGATCCTTTGTTGCTGCCCTAAACGCCAGATGGCGTAATGGGTAGTAAGTAAGTAAGTAAACAATAAAAAAAAACAAGAACCAAAATTTGCAACTCCCGTTAAACTTTTACTAACTAAAAACAAAGCTGACTTATTTCACAAGGACTCACCACTTCGACTTCCTTTCCCTGATCGATCAACGGCTTGCAGACGGAGCCGAAAGCTTGCGCCGAGCCCATGGAGCGTCAGAATAACTCGGTCAGCGTCTATTGCAAATGTCTGGCCCTCAGAGTTGCTGCACAACTGGATGGCCATAGAATACATAGTTCTATTCTTAGCAGAAATCCTCTCTGGAGAGAAACATTATTAGACGGAATCTTAAGAAACGTTTGAGGATCTCAAAACCTAAGAATCCCATCTTTCCAGAAATTGGTACCTGGCAACTCTACAAGCAGAAATAATTTCAATACTGAAAACACTTTTTTTTTAAAGAAGAAAATTCACTTGTCCGTGAAAAAGGATACATTCCTATCTGCAATTCTGTGATGTCAAGGGACATGACTCTTATCTTTACTGTGGGGACAAGATAATTAGGGAAGTGGCACGCCCTTGGATGACGTCCAGAGTCCGGCGCCAAATAGAGATTCATCGTCTGAGAGACTCACTGAGGTAGGCAGTCGAACTCAGGACCACGACGAGGCAACACTTATCTTGGACGGGGGCCCCCTGACAGACCCGACTCATCGGACCTCCAGGTAACGTTACAAAATTCTACAGAACATTTCCATTAATCTGTATAAGAATTTCTCAAAAATATAACCTATTCACTCCAGTGAACCATTTCATGAAACATGATTTTACCTTAGAGCAAATAACAAAATAATACTGTTGTGTTAACAAGGTCACTCTTTCTCTTCACAGATAATTAGTCTTCTTTAATTAAAATGTACCCAAACATGACTTGTTGCAAAAGAGAAAGATAATAATATGTTCATTATTTTTTATTCGCAACTGCATAGGGTCAAATGAGTGCGCGGGTCTCAAGTTGGTTGTTTTCACATTAATTCACAGCACGGTATGGTTTGACTTTGTAAAGATGGAATGGATAAAGAAGTTAAAAATTCACGGTAAAAATCAGGAATTAAAACTATTTCACATTGTTAAAACCATTTTTTACATCTTTGAAAAAAGACCAGTGGTCTTTGTAAACAATTCTGTAGGATCAACGATGGAGAACAAATTCTTTAAATTAGTGCATGTTAAGTATTTGCTTGGGACTGTCCAAAATCCAGACATTGTATTAGGATGTGCTCGATCATTAGGTCATTAAGCCGGCACTGCATTGGG